ACTGTAAGGAAGGTGTTCCTCGTAACACAAAGAATAAAAAGGTAATTAGTAGTAAAAACAAACAAAGAACTTTAAATGCTAAAGTTTCTTCACTAGTAAGTGCCAGTGAAGATTGTGGTGATGTGAAAGGACTGGAAGGGATAACATCTTCCTCCTCATATATGGTGGAATCTAAAACTCAGAACCGTGTACCTGGAGAAGAGAGAGAGATAACTGGGTTTAAGCAGAGTTGCGAATTTCCAGTGACTCAACCTTCATCTCGGCTACATAATTCAGTCACAGCATCAGTCTCACACGTGCAAAGTGAGCCTCTTTGCCTTGATACATCAGTGTTAGATCGTAACTATTCTCTGAAGCCTAGACAACAAGAACTACCATCTTTAGTTGTGGCTCAAGAACCAAGAACCTCCAGAACTGCAGACCTGGCCTCTCAAGTACCCTTGGAAACAAACCACCTCAGTAGATCAGTTCCACACTTATCTAGAGAGTCCAGCAGCCTTCAAGCCCACATCTCAGCACAACACCAAGATTCTAGCTGTAATGAGGCACAAGACCTGTCCAAGTCTAGTGAGTCCAGAAATAATAGAACACACCTCTCACACCATGGGGTTGAAACTAGCCATCTTCAAACTGCAGAGTTGCAGGCACCCAGCAGTTTAGAGGCAACAGCTTTACAAAATCCATGTGAATCTAATGGTGTAGAAACACCATTTCAGTTACAGCCTCAAGACTTCAGCAAGGAAGCGGAGAAGGAGCAAGAAAAGGTAGCTGACAAGGGAGATGCCTGCCACTCAGCTAGCAACATTAGTGATACCATCAAAGACTCTGAAAGGGACTGCACAGGTAGGCACTCTTTTCCTGTGTGTAGTGTTACTTCAATTTCTTATATTGCAGTAGAATTAAAAGTAAAGTAGTTTTTTATCATAAGTTATATTTCTTACTAATTTATTTAGAGCACATTTGTAGTATTTTTCTTTAAAGTTTATTATTTTTATGTTTCAGATTGTAGAATTATTTTCATTTCAATATAGTAGTTGTCTTATGTGTTGTTCAGGTAGAGTTTGCTTTCAGTTTTCTTTTTGTCATTTTTTTCTCAGAGCAGAATTAATTCGGGAGATAGGTAAATGCCCTTTTATTGTAGTATGGTCATGAATAAGGGAAAATTTTCAATTGTCATTCATTCCTTAGGTAATGGAGAGGCATGCACTGATGGCAGTTTGGTTTCAAATGAAAGACAAAGAATATTAAATAATGATGAAAGGAAAAGAAATCTCTTAGCTCCCCTTGTGGGTGATCAGTGCTCCCGAACTACTCCAGGTCTTCTCCAAGCGTATGCAAGAGGTCGTAAAACAAAATCACAAGCTTCTCCTGATACTGCACCTCTCAACATTCTCTCACCATCACCTGCCTTATCCCCTGCAAATACACCACTGTCAGTGGATGATGCGTCAACAAGTTCCTGTCCACCAATCGTGGCATTAACACAGCTGATGGTGCCTCGTGTGGCTCCACCTGCTAATGCTGCGGCAGGAGACTCTGCTCGAACGACACGCAAAGCTGCTCGCCCTGAGGAACGGCCAACTCCCAGTGTTACAGGTAAGGCTACTGTTATGTTCCCCTTTTATTTGTAAAAGTATTTGAAAGTTACTGTATATTTTTGATAGCTACTGTGTGACTGAAATGAGCATTTTTTATCAAACAGCAGTGAGTGGTATTCCAGTTGGTATTGCTGTTGCTCGTCAACGGCAAGAACCTCGGCCTCAAGAGGATCCTCAGCCAGGATCAATCCCACCCCGAGTAGCTGATCCTGGGAACAGTGCTCTACCCACACACTGGTCGCTGCCCCCAACACCCTGCACACCAGGACTTCCACCAGCACCATATTGGTTGCCCCAGAGTCAGTTCTCAGGTAATGCTCATGACACTATATTCCATATAGCACTGTATTTATTACATGAAGGAAAGAGAATGCTGTAGTAACATAACCATTAATCTTGTGTGACCACGTTCATAGTCCCAAAACATTTCACATCGGATGACTAATGAAGAATTGAGTATGACTAAAAGGACAAAAAGAAGTATATTAGATGGAATTACCAACAGTATTGAGTTGTTTTATTTTTAGAGTAATATGATGGGGACAAAGTATTCAACTCTTCAAAAATATTTGCATGTATGCAAAGTGTCAAATATACTGCACAAAGCATGTCTGAAAAGAAAGAAGCTTAATCAAAGCAGCTTAAAAGGATGAATTAGTTAATTTATTGATTTTTTAGCATTACTTACCTGTCTGCGTGATAGCATTTATGTGTGTATGCAATGTGTGGCTAGCTATCTGTCAGTCTGTCTGTCTGCCTAATGCAATGTAAATGGGTGAATGGATTTGAAAATTTATGAAGAAGAAAATATATATTGGGGAATATTTTACTTTGGGCCATATCACTATCTTGTATCTCATGATCGTGTATGTTTCATTTTAATTGTTTAGGTTATTATTTACTGCTGAGATACTGGTTATTAGCCATATTTTTAGATCTATTTTTATGCTTAAGAGGAATTAGATTATGAGTTCCTACACTTCCCTATCACAAAATGTTATCATCATATAGATTGAGCTATCAGTCATAAAGCGGAGATCAGAAATTTGAGCTAGTAAAGAGCTTGCACTAGTTCTATATTGGTTTCATATCAACATCATTAACCTTAATTAAAGTTAAACTTTCCCAATTGATAGTATCTGAATCAGAAGTCAAGCCATCAGTTTCGCTTATAATGTTTCTATTTGAATAGTATGGATATTTTAATTTGGTTTACTTGGCTATACTTTAATCAGTTTTACTTTTAAAATCATCCCTCCCTCTTGTGAAACATTTGCCACATAGAAACCCATGAATGTATATATACTTTTGTTGTTGTTGTTGTTGTTATTTAAGAAAACACTTGTTAATGCTTAGCATAGCAGCAATTAAGTAAGTCTAAGTAAATAAAGTATTGAAATATAGAAATGAAATCATGTCTTTCACTTATTATGAAATTCTAAATCAGAGTTACTTTTATGGGGGGTTCCACTCTTTATAGATTATGTGTCTTAGGTATTACAATTGATTATTGGTCAAACTATTTGAAAAGTTGCTGGTCACAAGCCATATAAATAAAAGTTGTTTACACTTTTGATTATGATATTGCAGACTTTGCCAAGAATGTAATTCTGTAGGAAAATATAAGAAAAAACAATGATAATATTTGTGGTAGAGAAGGGACTGAGTTGATATTTTATGTAGTTTATCCTTACATTAAACAATATTACCACAGTCAGAGGACAAGAATGTTTTTGAAGGTCCTAGAATAAGATAAAAATAATGTAAGTGCAGATATTATGATAAATGGAAAGGTACTAGAAAGGGAGAAATGTCTGTTGCTGTTTTGCTGTAAGAAAAAGGGACACATTAATATTCTCTGAAGTATTACAGATGAATTATAGTACTTGACTTGGAATTACCAATGTAGAGTGTAGAAAAGTTTTGACTTGTTAAAACTGAAATGTATCTTTTCTATAACTTATTTGGGATTATATATTTTTTTCTTTTTTTGCATGGTATGGTAAAGAGGTTGCAGGTTTTTTATTTAATTTAATGCCATATTCAGTAATTGTAAGAGGAAATAGAGACATACATTAACATTTTAGATATAATGATAAGCTTTGGTAGAATAAAATGCATGAGTAATACAAGTATACTTTTACCTGTACAGGAAAGAAGATGGAATTTTGATAATGATGAATTTTAAAGATATTTTTACAAAGATATTTCTTTGAAATTTAATTTTGTGTTTGCTTGGGAATGAAGCTGTGCGTGAAACTAAGGCTATTCTTAATAGCCATATTTATAAGAACCCACCAATATTCTTAAGAAACCTGATTTATACACAAGAAAAATAGACACATCATCAGACCAGAGAAAACCAACAACAAAATAATGTAATCTTTAGGCATTAGTAAAATACACATCAAGTTTTACAAAGAGAGCGTTCATTTGCCTAATGAACTGGCAGGCATGGGTGTGGATGCCAGTGTAGGCGCGGGCATGGGATTAGGCTACCAGTTCGCCCGTGACCCACTAAGCGGTCACTACTACCTACTGCCGCACCCGCACGCAATACCAGGTTTGTGGTCCTTGAATGGAACGCACCCTCTTCTTCACTGTTCATGGTTGTTTCACCACTTTCTGTAGTGTATTTAGTATTAATGTACAAATGTTGATCTACGTATTGTACTGTGTGTATCATGTTGCCCTGCTTGGTCTTAGACTTGATTCTTCATATAACATGTAATAGTTGTGCTCATATTCTTGTTATATATATCTGTTACTCTCCCAGGGAAAAAAGGTCTATAGAACTTATTGTTTTACAGATCATGGTGGTCATGGTTTACTGTGGGCAGGATATGGGGGTGTACCTGCTGCCCCACCCGTGGTTATGACTCCCCAGCAGCTTTTACTTCCTGATACCCACTTTCATCCTGCACTACATGCCCACACAACTCTGATTCATGTCCCCCATCCCCATGCTCCCGTCCATGCACCAACACCTCCCTCCATCAAGCGTGAGGACCCCCCAACTCCCGGACCACCAGACGAAGACCCCAAGAGCCGTCCAGTGAGTGTGCCCCCTCCGGGGCAAGGACCTCCTCCACCAGGCAGTGAGCTGACATTACCACCACCTCTACCTGCAGGTCTGCGTCATCTTCCTCCTTACCTATACCCACCCCCAACATCTCTACCCTACTACTGTCCCCAGTCACCTCATCCTGCACCTTATTCCATTCCACCTTTCCCACATCCCCCTACTACAACAATGGACTCGGGCTTTACCACCAGTAGAACCACATCTCTCACTACAACTCATGCCAACACCCTTGCGGCTCCAGGCAACATGACAACATTCTCAGTTCTGCCAGCTGCACCTGTCTCCAGTGTGGCAAAGGGTAGCAGCCTAGACCATTATTCACCACAGGATTGTGAGTCCATGGTGGCCACTGGTTCTCCTGTTTCTAGAACAGACTCAAATGAGCCAATTAATGTTACTTCCCATTCAGAAGAAGAGCCTGACACAGAATTGCTTCTGCCAAGACCTTTGCCACTACAAGAGCCTTTGCGAATACCAGTCCCCTTCAAGATCAAACAAGAAATCAAGGAAGAAGTTCCCTCTCCTGTTGGGGTTAACAGAGATGGGGCCTGCACACCTGGAGATGCAGCTGATGAAACTCATGTCCAGTCAGTTAAGAAAGAAGCATTTCTTGGTTGTGAAGCTACTCAAGCTACATGTGCTAAAACACCAAAAGTTTATATGACACAGGTTCAAAAGGATTCACTTCCAACCCCATACACTGAAAATATGTCTTCAGAAATTCAGGATAAAAATTCATCACAAACAAATGAAACTACAGACACAATATACCAAGAACCAAAGAATTCAAACTATTTAAAAGTAGGAACAGTTGTTTCTAAGCATCCAACTCCTAAATGCTATGAACCTGCAGTTGTTAGCACTGGTCAGTCAACAGTAACAAAGTTTTCTGAACCACTGACCCTAAACAATAACGAAAAAACAGATGATCACACCAAGTCCCAAAGATTAGAGTCATCAGAGCCATATCATCCCATGTCTGAAGTTAATCATATTCCTTGCAACTCTGAACCAGCTACAGCAACATACCTAAAGGACAGTTTAGCACCTCTTCCCACTCCTGCTTCTTCAGAGTCTAATCCAGAAACCCAGTCTTCAGTCCAGCCAAATCCTCTTGTAGTTTGCCAAGAACAGACTGCAGCAAATTCAGTCTCATCTTGTACAGGCTGTCAGGAAATGCAACCTGCTTCACATATGAATTCAGCCCCATACTCTGGTACAAATTCATCATATATTGATGTGAGTGGTCTAGAGCTTTTATCTCAAAGTATTCTGCAACATGCAGATCGACTCTCAGAATTACCACAGGAGGAACAAAGTGCAGATGGTCCTCTTGTACAGGAAGATAACCTGGAAGATGGCTATTGCTCATCACAGGAGAAAGTTCAAGAAGATGACTGTACTTATCCAGGGCAAGATGAATTGCCTGAGGAGAAGTGTAGTTCACCATGCAAAGAGACACCACCTTATGAATATGCCTCAGATGGGGAATATGAGAGTAGTATAGAAAAAGGTGAAGATTGTTCTGATGAACATGAATCACCTGCAAATAAAGATGAAGTAAGTTCAAGAGGTGAAATGGTTTCAGAAGAAGATGTGAATGGGATTGCAGGAAGTAGGATGCATGAGTTGGCAAAAGCTTGCATAATGGATATTTCTCGTCTCCAGTCACCTGCAACTTCACCGTCACAATATGCTGAACCTTCTTCACCTGTATCTCAGTCTGACCCACTTACAGGCCTTCATGGCCTCAGCCTTTTGTGTGCCTTAGCTGAGCAACGCATCCTGGAGGAGAAGAGTGTGGCTTGCACAGCCCTGTCTTCCCTGGCTGATGTGGCAGCCACATCCCCAAGTGTTCCCACACGCCCATTGGAACGCTCACCTTCGCCACGCTCACCTTCACCACAGCCAGGCCCAAGTACTGAGACAAGATGTTTAAGATCAAGCACTTTTAGCCAGACGGCAGATAAACCAGTATTTGGATCTTCTACTTTTGGAACTGTTCAAAACTCATATATCACTCCAGTAAAGACCACAGATGTAAATAGGAATTACAAAAGCCCGCAGTCTGAAAGAGAAGCAAAAGCTTTCATTGCTAACAAAGCTTCACAGTATCAAAAAGAATCAACTGTAGGTTTTAAAGTACCATTTGGATTTCCTGTTGATTCAATGGATGCAGCTGAGCTTGACATGCGTATGCAACTGGCTGAATTGCAGAGGAAATATAGAGAAAAGCAACGTGAACTTTCAAGACTTCAGCCTAAGAAAGTGACAGCAAGCCCTGCAAAGAGAAAACCAGGCAGACCACCCAAAAGAAAGGTTCATAACAATGATGTCCCTGGCAAGAAGAAGGTTGGGAGACCTCCAAATAAGAAGAAAAAGTCAGTACAAAAGGAACTTTCACCTCCAGTGCTAGAAAGAGTAACAGACCTTCAGATAAAGAGTACAACCAAAGATAGTGATGAAGAGAAAGAGGAGTCACACAGTGCCAGCAGATCAATACTTAAACCACCAGTTCTTACAGCAACATTTTCAAGCCATGTCACCCACAATGGTAACCAGTACACACCACCAAAATCTGTTGAAACACAGGCATCTACAGAAAAGGATGAATCAAGTGATGATGATACAGATAAAGAGAAAAATAGAAGATGGTCTATTTCATCAGAAGACACAGCACCTCCACCACTAAGACCACCTTTCAAGCTACCCACAACTACACCTGAAACACGTCTAGAAGAGAGTGAGGAAGAGCAAGCAAAATATAGTCTTAGTGACTCTTCAGCCCGAGAATCGAAAGCCTTGCACACAGAAACTTCTGTTGAATCATCGCCTTCTGATCTTGAGCAGCAGCCAGCATCAGCTTCATCATCAAAGAAGCGGAAGCCAGGCCGGCCTAAGAAACACTCACCAACAAAGGAAGATGCTACTGAAACCATTGTTGCTAAAAAACCAAAGTCTCTGAATCTCCTCCTTCATCGTCCACTGCTCTCACATAAGCCAAAAATGCGTCCAAAGTTGAAAGCTGAAGTTAAGGTGAGTTTACCATTAGTGTTAGTGTGAAAAAATTCTATCTTCGAGATGTAAAAATGTAATATTTTTTCTGTTTTAAAGTTATAAAAACCTCTTTTGATTCTTAATTCATTGAAAATAAAATGATAAATCTTGGGTCTTTGTATCACATTGAAAACAAAGAATAATTCCTTCCCAAATTTTTCTTATGAAAATTGATGTGCCATAGGTACGAGAGGGTGATCAGGAAGAAGAAGAAGGAGCAAATCGAGTACACTACTCCATGACCAGTACTAACGAAACACCAACCAAAGACTTGTCTGAAGATGAGGATCACCAATCGGTAAGAATTACCTTACTGAAATATTTTGACAGAACTATGAATGCTTTTTCAGTTATTTTTTGTACATTAGATTGTATGTGCTATAAATATTGCTTTTGATATATAGATAAGAACCCAAACAAGATATTGGTTTGTAAGGGAATTTGTAAAGTTAATGATGATAAAAGTAGTGCACTTCCCAGTAGTAATAGTTGTGTAGCTTTTTACTTTTCTTGCATGACAAGGGCACTATGAACAGCCATATCATATAAACTTACTGATTTTTTAGCCATGTTTGGTTAAGTCTGAAAGCATTCGAGGGGCTCAGAGAAGAGTAGTGTCTCGAAGTCGAACATCTATTACAAGAAGAGCAATGCTTAGAGACAAAGAGAAGAGGAAGTCAGCAGCAGAAAAGCAGTCAGTGATGGAGGCACTTTATAGGTATGTTAGTTAATGTGTTGAAGAATATATTCCAAATCTTTGTAATAGAAGAATTGATGAAACAAAGTTTGTATTTTTTTTCATAATTCTGTCACTAGATATATATAGGGGCATCATCTACATATTTATTTCTGCATTGCATGATATCAAATAAACATTGTCAATTACTTTTTATAGGTCCCTCAAGAAGCACTCAACAATGGCTGCAGCAGAGCATGATGAATCGGAGGAAGAGAGAGATCGTGATGAGAAGGAAACTGAGAAAGTGGAAGAGGAAGCTTCTGCCAGTGACCATGAGACTAGTCAAGAAGTATCATCAGGAGACACTGTGACCACCTCTACCACATCTACTACAACCACAACTATCACCACAACCACTACCACAACAACAAGTACAACTACAACTCCAACTACAACTACTGATGCTACAAGACCCACCATGCAAACACCAGGTAAGGAATATGAAATGATTTCCTTAGAACTAGTCATTTAGCTTTGAGACATTTATCAAAAGAAGAATGACTAACAGAAATGCAGTTTCACTCATGTGATTGTAATATTTATATATGCATAGATATAAAGATATTTTATGTCAAGTAAGAAATATTGTAAAAGTGTGATCTGACAGTAAATAGCACCAATTTAATTCTTTTGCTTACAGAACCAAATGTTTGTGTAATTGAAGTGGGCGATTTAGTAGACAAAGCGAGAGTGTTGGTGCTGCAGGACGGTCTGTTGTATGCCGGCTATGTAGTTCCCATGACACCTCCAGATGTATATGGAGTTGTGATAGATGGAGAACGAGGCTCACGTCCACATATATACTGTCGAGAAGAACTGCTTGAGCAGTCTGTAAGTATATATGGTTATGGTTATGGGGTCTTGATTCCAAATGTAAGCATAGTAAGTATGAATTTTCTTTCTGATTTCAGTTCACTTTTTACTGTGCATATCTATTACTGTTTTGAGGTAAATAAGTGTGAAGGAACCAGAGTAAATGAGGATATTCAAATGTTTTCATTGATATTTTAATTATTCATATATAAGTAATATACACAAAAGATGCTATGAAACAAACCCAAAGGTGAAACCTAAATTTTCTATTGTTGTAGTTATTGTTTATTATCATATGAACTTATGTACAGATAAGATCCAGTTAACATGGATGTTTTTCATTGCAGTGGAAGGAAGTGAAGCCTGGTTCAACGAGGTTCCTCAAAGAAGGAACCCGTGTTTGTGCCTTTTGGTCACAGCAGTACCGAGCCCTGTATCCAGGTCTGTTAATATTTGATTCTTTTAAGGACTGAACAAATTCATATAATATAAGTTAATAGACTTCATGGTATTGGAAGCTAACATTATATTGTACTTTATTATGGAGTTAGATATGTTTTACTTTGCTTTACTTTATAGATATGGTTTGATTTCTATAATAACACATTTTAATGGTAATTCTGTCTTCACCTTTACAGGAATGGTAGCTGCTTCCTCTTCCCCAGCACATGAAGCCAATCATAATTTTGTGAATGTGGAATTCGATGATGGTGACTCGGGGAAGATTCATGTTGATGATATTCGTCTTTTGCCTCCAGAATTCCCCGTTCTGGGTAAGTGTATGTATGAGATGTTACTAACCCAGTTATTAGACATTAGTTTTAATTTTTTTTCTTTTCTTTTCTTTAATATTTTTGCCATTAAATCTGTTTACTCATAAATCTGGAAAAGAATGGTGTTAATATTTTTGTCAGGGATATCAGATTGGATGTATTTTGCCTAGATTTAGGAAAATCACATATTTGTTTCCTTTAGATTACGACCCCAACCCTCTGATGACCCTTCAAAAGAGAAAAAGGAGACCTACAGGTGACAGCCTCCCTGATATCAAAGAAGAACCTCCCAAGACAAGACAGAAGAAGGTGAAGGCAACCACTGAAAATAATGTTGAAGATGACACTATCCATGATCCAAACGATGTTAACAACGAAGTAGAAAAGGAAAATAAAAAGAGTAGTGTAAATATAAAGAAAGTAGAGAAGGAAAATGAGGAAAAGAGCATCAAGAAAACAAATAAGAAGGGAGATAAGAAAAAGCACAAGAAGCATAAACACACAGAGTCATCACATCACCATCGTCACAGACACAAGAATAAGCACAAGCATAAACATCGTGAAGGAGACAGACCACTCCCACACATTGAACCTGGGATAAACGAACTTACCATGAGAATCAAGTCTCCTCCACCACCCTTGGGAGAAACAAGAAAACGCTCATATCAGGAGGAGTCTGAGTCAGAATTGGATAGTTCATCATCAAAGAGTGCCACTGAGGAGGACTCTGAAGAGAATGATTCTGAATATACTCCCTCAAAGAAGGAAAAGGTTAGCATATCAACTAAATGTATTCAGTGGAGTAGATTATAATGCCATACATGATAACTGAAAACTAAGGCTTTTAGTCTCTAACAAAGTCCTTATCAATATTACAGGTTAAGACTCCTGCAAAGCGCAAGAAGAGACATCCCTCTGGCAAATCGAAGATTGCACCTTTTCTTCCCGAAAGACAGTTGTGGAGATGGTCTGGCAAAGGATTCAAAAGACCTGGTGCAAAGGGCAAAGGCAAAAAGGAATTCTTTAAGGCTATAGTTAGAGGAAAAGAAATGATACGTGTATGTGTCTCTTAATATTTCATGAGTTACTGTGTGTAAAGATATATATTCTTGTGAATAAGATATTGTTTGTATATAGTATCATGGTATATTGACCTTATAGTTATACTACTAATGAAATATTCATATTGTTTTATTAATTTACTACATATTGTGCTTTAGGTTGGAGATTCTGCTGTGTTCTTGTCTGCTGGCCAACCCGACCGTCCATACATTGGAAGAATCGAACTTATGTGGGAATCATGGGGAGGAAATATGGTGGTTAAAGTCAAGTGGTTCTATCACCCTCAGGAGACCAAGGGACTTGGACGGAGGCTAACTGAACCAAAGGTAAGACTAAGTGAAAGTTGAAAATAATGCACAAATTTCTGTTTGGTTTATTCCATGATTGAACTGAACTAGAGATTTAATATACCTCTGTTTAATATAAGCTTTTTATTCATTATACTCAAAGTAAATGCTTTAGAATGTACTTTTGTTCTGATAACAGAGAATAAAAATCAAGAGTATAATCAACTCTTTAACCAAATTTAACCCATTTTTTCAGGGGGCTTTGTTCCAGTCTCCTCACACAGATGAAAATGATGTTCAGACCATTAGTCACAAGTGTGACGTCATTGCACTGTCTGATTATCGAATCAAGCGACGAGAGCAAGAAAAGCGGTATGGACCAAACTGTGAAAATTATGATATCTATTACCTAGCTGGCTCGTATGACCCAACCACAGGACACATTACCATGGAGCCTGGTGTGTCATGAAGATCCTGGCACATCAGTTTAAGATTATTGTGATAAAAGTGATAGCCTGTGAAGTGAGTAAAGTCAGTTTAAAGAATATCATGATTCCCTTCGTCTCAGAAAAGTGACTATTACAGTGTGTGGTGCGACTAAAGGTTACATTCCTCAGTCATGTTGGTTAATAAGATAAAACTTGTGGGAAGTAAATGATCAAGATGAAGGACAATTGCAAAAAGGTTGTCCTTGAGAATGAAACGAAGAGCTTAAGGAATAGAATTTTTAAAGAGTTTATTTTTCTCAAGTCTGAAGTGGGCAGTTCCAGTTGCATATATGATAGATGTTTCAACAAGAAAATGGATACAGTTATAGAATTGTGAAGTAGTTTGCATGATAATGGAAATCTTTGGTAATAGATTAGTACATGTCTTTCTCAAGACATTTATAAACAGTAACAATGTTCTAATGTGAATTTTAAAAAATGTCATATATTTATAAAGCATTTAAAATATCATACTTCTGGAAACTGTAAAAGTATGGTAGAAGAAATGGTTTAACCCTTATGCTTAACATATGTGTTTACAAGTGTGATCAAAGTGATATATTTGATTTTAGAAAAAAAAGCAATTTAGGCCCTCTGGAGTCAAGTAGAGCAGTCAGTATTGTAGATTCATCTTCAGGGGATTTTTATTCTTGGTAATTTTGACTTTAGGCTATTAGATGGTGGATTGCTTATGGACAATCACTTGAATCTGCAAAATCACTATGAGAAATCTATGGTTTTTGTTAATATACTTTTTGGAGTGTGAAAGATCAGAGGTGTCCTTCCAACTACCCAAATTTTGCCTTTATCTCACAACACCTTTTAGATTTTAAGGATTTTTATCATATACATGAGTACCTGCAATATTTTATATAGATACTTTATTGTGTGGATCATAATATCTAAACAAATAGATATCTATGGCTGCATTATGATTAGAACCACTGCTAGTGTTTAAAAGCTTATTTTCTGGTCCTGCAATAATGTGTTGCATGGCACTACCAGTGATAATGACCAATGGCAATTGTAGCATCTTGTACAAGTGTGGAAGAGTCGTTGAAGGCCTTTCCTTGCCGTTTTTTTCTTCTTTTTTCTTGCTTGGTCTAGATTAATTTATGTTAAATTTCAGTGATTTCTTTTGTGTTGATTGCATGTTGAACTGATTTAAAAGAACATTAATGTGTACAGTAGATATTGTTTGTGTTAAATGTCTTACAAGTTTCTTCATGTCTTCAGTGATGAGGAAGACTTAGATTAGCTTCTTAGTTGATAAAATGGTTGTATATTTTACATTTTGCCTATAGTGCGAAAGGCTGTTACAGAGCTCTGACATGGATGCTTTATGTTTCCCATCAAAAGACATTGACTAATTATTATGACAATTAATTCAATGTTACAATGGATCTCATATGATATATACAATATATAGTGACTGTAGGAATCTAACAAACAATTTCAGAATATCCCATTTTGTGTTCATAGGATTCAAATTCTGCAAGAGCATGTCAGCTAGAACAAAAATGGTTATTTAACAGTGAAATATATAATTTTGATATCTGTAATTAAGAGCATTTGTTCTAGATGTGATTGTTTTCTGAAGTGACAGTCATTTAAAGTGCTGTTCCAGATTTTGGATGGTCTAGTTTAGGGTGCTAAACTTATCCCAAAATGACACATGTTACCATGCAGCATACTAACACACAGAACTGTAATAACATCAGATTTTTTTCCTTCTTTCTCTTCTTTCTTCAAACAGTTTAAGGATAAAAATGCTTTTGATGAAATGGTAAGATATCATTAGCCAAGGTTTTCATATGTTAGGTAGAGTGGACCTTCTTCTAGAGTGAAATTGCTTTTTGTTGATTTAGATTATTGCTGTTTATTTACAGTTACGTGGATAATCAGTTTTGTGGCTGTTAAGGTCAGGAATGGTTGCTTTAGGGGAAAGTGAATGATGCAATTAGTTATACAACAGTATATATAATGTTGCATACAAGTCGTTTGCTTGGTTTTACACAAACCTATAGAACTGCGTACATAAGAAGAGTTCTGTGAATTAATGGAACTTCCCATAATGATGCCCTTCACTAAGTAGAACACATTTCTATTTTAGATTGGCACCATTTCACTGAATGTGATAATATGTGAACAACTTATTCTAGCATTATGAAATGATTAAGTTTGCTTTATACTAGAAATGACAGATTGTGGTGACATATTTGAGGTATTACAAGATTCTAAGTAATCATCTTTGTATACTGGAAATACAAGTAAACTGTTTAAGACAGTGTGTTGGCAGCAGATTTCTGATGATAAAATAACTATTTTAACAAAATCAAATTAAACTGGATTCTCTAGATACACTATTTTGACCCCTTCAGGACAAAGCAAAAATATTTTTATTATAGATTTTACAGCATATTTTCTTTATGATAAATTTGTCATAGTTCAAAATTTATTATTTTTTACATCTAACACATTTATTATATTTATTTGTAGGTAATATTTGAAAACTAACTTCTTTGCACTGCTCTAGAATAAGATGAACTAAATGCTCAATTATGTGAATACCAAATAGTGTTAAAATTTATGCATGGAGTACAAATGCATACAAGTAAACTGTAACAGGTAATTTCCTGAAGGGGTTACAATAGGAATACCCACTCTAAAGCAAAGAATTCAAAGAAATAGTTCTCAGTCACTTTCAGCAACATGCAAGCATTGGTAACTGACGGAGGATTTCACATGAACAAAAGCAATGGGTAACCAGACCCACTTTGAGAGTACTTTCATTTAACTTTCTGACGAATTCACTGGTAACGAAATAAGTAGTCGGCCTCATCAAAGACATTGAAATAGTTTATTTTTAACCCCTGTCCCTCCCACCCACTCATTCAAGCTAATCTTAAAAAACAAACCGAATGTTCACTTCTTGAAAATCACTAATATGAGATTAAAGTGGAAAGTTTAGCAACAAAATTTATTGTCATTTTTATTGCAAACAAAGCTGTTTATGTATGTATGTGTATACTGTATACAAACTGTATATTTGCGTGGTTTGTTTGTTTGATTGTTTAAGGTGTGTGTGTTTGTTTGATTGATTGATTAATTACAGAGAGAGAGAGTGTGTGTGTGTGTGTGTGTGTGTGTGTGTGTGTGTGTGTGTGTGTGTGTGTGTGTGTGTGTGTGTGTGTGTGTGTGTGTGTGTGTGTGTGTGTGTGTGTGTGTGTGTGTGTGTGTGTGTGTGTGTATGTATGTGTGTGTGTATGTATGTATGTATGTATGTATGTATGTATGTATGTATGTATGTATGTATGTGAGTGAGTCAGAGAGAGAGAGAGAGAGAGAGAGAGAGAGAGAGAGAGAGAGAGAGAGAGAGAGAGAGAGAGAGAGAGAGAGAGAGAGAGAGAATGTGAATGTGAATGTGGAGTGTGAGAATGTGTGTGCATGAGTGCGTGTGTGTGTGTGTGTGTGTGTGTGTGTGTGTGTGTGTGTGTGTGTGTGTGTGTGTGTGTGTGTGTGTGTGTGTGTGTGTGTGTGTGTGTGTGTGAGAGAGAGAGAGAGAGAGAGAGAGAGAGAGAGAGAGAGAGAGAGAGAGAGAGAGAGAGAGAGAGAGAGAGAGAGAGAGAGAGAGAGAGAGAGAGAGTGAGTGTGCATGTATGTGTGTGTGTGAGTGTGAGTGTGTGTGTGGTATTTAAGGGTATATACATTGTATATAATCATACAATATACAGTACTTGTTTGAGCAGTGAAAAGCTTTAGTTAAACCTGCTTTCTGTCATGGCACAAAAGTACTTATCAATCTGGAATATGGTGATTTAAAGGGTAAACAAGTGCATAGAATAGTCATAGTATTAGAACATATCTAAAGTATAATGAGTGGTGATTTTTTATGAATTTTAATGAACCATTTATTGTTTACTAATCAATGTGATGATAAGATAAGAATTAAATTAGTAGCTGGCTCATAATTCAAAGCTTTCTCACTCTTAAATGTCAAAGTGCCAAAATTAGAAATAGGTATTTTCCCAAAAAGTATCTGGATCAGCTTGAAGTTTCCCCCCCTACATTTCTTTCATGGTGTAGATAGTGTTCAGGTCAGAATACGTGAAGAAATTTAATGATTCAGTATGAATGCTTTGAGTATATACATATGTACATATATACATATACACTTATGTGTACTTACATTTTACATTTCATTTTTTTATTTTGTTCATTATCCGTCTGGTTTTTGCTTCTGTCTCTTCTTCTATTATCTGTTCATTGTTATTTATCTGTTAATTCTTTCTATCACACACACACACACACACACACACACAACACACACCACACACACACACACACACACACACACACACACACACACACACACACACACACACACACACACACACACACATCTAGTTACAGAAATAGCTCATAGTACATTGGTATACAGATAGCAAGTTCACATACAGTATATCTATATGTATATATGAATGTATGTATGTGTAAGTGCTGTTAAACCATGTGACAACTGAGTATAGGAGTATGATTCTTCTAAAAAAAAAAAAAAAAAATGTAGTTATAACTGTTACCAGTATAGGTTTATTTTTATTTACTTAAGTTGCCACTGAAGTTGGCATATACAGTATAGGCATATATTACATGAAGCACAAAAGACTTTACACAATTGTAACTGTCGAGCCTGATATTGGAGCAAAGCTGCCACATTTGCTGCACTGTGATTAAGCTCTAGGATTAGTTCTGCAATTTGAGAATTGGATTGAAAATCAGAGGGTGACAATCATACACTCTTACTCTAATCTAGTCCAAAATTTTCTCATCTAATAAAAAGGAAACAAAAAAGGACACTTCATGTTTTAGACAACAGCTTCTAAAAGATGGGATTTTTTATTTTTATTTTTTTCCTCCAAATAGGTCTCCCATGAGTCTTCTTTCCTATTTAATTGCAGCACACTTCATTCTCATGATAACATGGTGTGTGTGTGTGTGTGTGTGTGTGTGTGTGTGTGTGTGTGTGGTGTGTGTGTGTGTGTGTGTGTGTGTGTGTGTGTGTGTCTGTGTGTCGTGGGTGGGTGGGTGGGTGGGTGTGTGGTGGGTGGGTGTGTGCGGTGTGCGTTGTGTGTGTGTGTGTGTGTGTGGTGTGTGTGTGTGTGTGTGTGTGTGTGTGTGTGTGTGTGTGTGTGTGTGTTGTGTGTGTGTGTGTGTGTGTGTGCATGTGAGACTGAGTGACAGTGAGTGAGTGAGGGAGGTAGTGAGTGCACACACACTTGCATGTGCATGTGCATCTTTATAAGAATTTTTCTACCGAGTGAATACATGTGTCTGCATGTTACCATAACCACCAGACAAGTATGTGGAACAGACACACTTCATTACATTTCACTCATTTGGATGTTTGTGAACAGAAAGGCAAATGATTTTTTATTTGTTTTGGCATAATATCATGACTTACATTCCATATATCAGTTTTTAATATTTCCTCAAATGAGAATACCAGGCAAAGGAAAAAAACTAATGGCTAAAAGTTATTACCTTCTAAAAGATTATAGTTATAGGGATATAATGAAAAGTAATCTTTTGCAGACTCTTGTATTACTTATAACAACATGCAAGAGTTGTTTCCCTTGTTTTTGCATGTGTTTTTTTATATTTTATTGCAAGCGTTTAAATTCTGCAATATATACCGTACATCCAGCATGCTCAGATGAAAAGACGTTGGGTGTCTGTATCTTGATTTTTTTTTCCAACAAATATTTTAGCAAGTTTCTTAGTACAAATAGTTCCTGTTACACATAGTTCGATAGTTGTTATTAACAATGATTTCAAGATAGAATGTACTTTTATCAGGGTAACTGAAGCCTTGGAGGATAGTTCTGAAACCAGACATGAAAGTCAAGTTTCATTTCTTTGTT